ATGTGTATTATTCATTCATGTTTTATTTACCTTGTTAATTATGTCATTCATGTGCATGTGCATAACATGAGCTCTACACCCGAGCTCTGTCCCTCTAGGAGGGAGTAAAGTACCTATTGCTTTCGTGAGGTCTAATGCCTCCGCAGTGGCTAGCGAAATACTCCCACTCAAATTGAACCTTTTCCGCTTGTAGCCTGTAATGGGTGAGGATTAGGGTGCCTTACTAGTCTGTGATGGACAAGGATGTAAGGAACAATTTGAGGACCTTTAGACTCTGACCTTAAAACCACATGTAGTGAACCTTAAGAGTGCCTACACCTAGGATAGAGCTCTTTCTACCCGATGATAGATATGCCCTGAAATTAGGACACAAAAAGGGTGTTTATCTAATCATTTTGATTGCTTAACTTTGTGTATTATTTTTATCATATGTAACACTATGCATCAGCATCACTTTCATTTCATCCATGGAACTAACTATGTTATTTGTCTGATTGTATGCATCTGCATTATTTTCATGATCATGTTTTAACACAATCATTTGCATTCATTTCATACTAGATTTCATTCAGAAAAATGTACATTTCATTTGTGTATCAAAGCATCATACATAAAGCATAACATTTCTAATCATGAGTATGGTACTCAAGGCTCCAGGATAGCTCCATCTAGCGAAAATCTTGCCCATCGATTTAACACAAGATCCAGAGCAAGGCAAATGGAGCAGGAAAATTCTCAGAGATTTGAAAAGATAGAAAAAGCTCAGGAGAAGATTGAAAATGAACTTAGCAAAATTCTGGAGGCTCTCAATAATATGAATAAAGGAAAAGGAGTTGAAGGAAGTACAAGCCAGCAAGAAGTGGCTGACCCATTGTACCCTCCAGGTTTTGGCCCACCTCAAGCCCAGTCTGCCCAAGAGGTCCCGCCACAACATTTCGCCTATCCTGGAATGCCATCAGCTTTCAACCCAGGACAGTATAACAGCTATATAAATCCTGTCTTCACTGAAAAGGCAGCAGAACCAATTCCTGATCTAGATGATTTAAAAGAGAAGGAGAAGGAAAAGATGAGAGTAGAGGCTGAAGAAAGTTCCAAGATTAGCATGCTAGAGCAGAGGCTAAGGGCTGTGGAAGGATTTAGCTGTTATGGGTCAGTAGATGCTGCTGGGCTCTGCCTAGTCCCTGATGTGGTTATCCCCTATAAGTTCAAAGTACCGAAGTTTGAAAAATATGACGGTATAAAGTGTCCCAAAACCCACATCACCATGTATTGCAGAAAGATGGCAGCTCATGCACATGATGAAAAACTCTTGATGCATGTTTTTCAGGACAGTCTTACTGGCTCTGCCGCCAGATGGTATGTTCAGTTGGATAGGACTCGTATTCGCTCTTGGAGTGATATGGCACATGACTTCATCAGTCAATATCGACACATTATCGATTTGGCTCCTGATCGTTTGTCTTTGCAGAATCTGGAGAAAAAGTCAAACGAGTCTTTTAAAGAGTACGCCCAAAGATGGAGAGATATAGCTTCACAGGTACAACCTCCACTGACAGAGAAAGAGACCACAGTGCTGTTTGTTAGCACTTTAAAACCTCCCTATTATGAAAAAAATGATAGGGAATGCAACAAAGAATTTTGCTGACATGGTAATCTCTGGAGAAATTATTGAAAGTGCCATAAAAAATGGTAAATTGAAAGGAGAAGAAACCAAGAAGGCATCAGAAAAGAAAGAAGCTGAAGCTGAAGCTCAAGCTGTGAGCTTTGATAGACAACAATTCAGGGGTTATCAACCCTATCCATCCCAAGGTTACTCTCCATACTATCCTGCTGTGAATAATGCCTCATCCTACCCCTACCAGCTAGCCCCACAACCATCTTATTCATCCACTTATCGCCTTAACATTCAAGCTCCTGTAAGAACCCAAATTCGTCCTACTCATCCAGCAAGTGGCTCACGAGAACAACGGACTACTCGAGAAAAACCTGTATTTGATCCAATCCCTATGACTTATACAGAGTTATATCGAGAACTCTATAATAGCCACTTGATTGCCCCCAGCCATGTGGAACCACTTAAACCACCCTATCCAAAGTGGTATGATCCTACAGCCCGTTGTGACTATCATTATGGAATTACTGGCCATTCTACTGAAAATTGCACTGCTTTAAAGTATAAGGTGCAACGGTTGATCAATGATGGAATGGTAAGTTTTGATCAAGGAAAAGCAACAGCACCTAATGTTAGTGTACTGAGCGAAAGTCAAGAACAGAAAGGATCCGAAGATTCACAATGAATTGAGGGGCAAGATGTCAATGGAGATAAGGCTGGTTGAAGGTTTCTTCTGTCATTTTGGGATTTCTTTTCAAAAATGTTAGATTTTTTTTTGCAATATGACTTCACTTGTTATCATTTTAATAAAGGCAAGTCAATGCATTTCATTACATTTTTCTCTTTCACTTGACCATTATTCCATGCCTTGTTACCTTCTATAACTTCACATTCCCATTCTTAAATTTCAGATGATGAATATTTAGACAATGATAACAATAATTCTGGAATTTAATTTTGAGAACTCATTCACAGAGGAGATGATTTGAGCGAAAATAAAGAGGGTAAGCCATCACCAGAGATGAAAGAGATATATCTTGAAGGTGTGCAATATTTTATACAAGTTCATGAGCTTTGTTCAATAGATGATGTTCAAGAAAGGTATTCACAATTGAGATGAAAAATGGCCATCTTTCTTTTACCATTGGAAAAACCATTTATTGCTACCCCCTTTGAGCCAATCATCATTTTTTTTTTTTTTTAAGACCCCAACCAAGGATCACCCTCTACACTGGAGGGTAATTTTTGAAAAAAAAAAAAAAAAAACACCACAAAAGGTCTCAAAAATGGAAAAAAGAAAAGAAAAAATAATGCCACACATGATTTGGGGCAAAGTAATGAGAATCTTTTGTGTGAAGAAAGAAAAAATAATGAAATGATGTGGGGGCAAAATGCAAGTTATATCAAATGATCTTTGGTTTTGAACCTTTTTAATACATATTTTGAGCCTATTATATCCATTTTTTGTGACCCTTCACCTTGGCCTACATTACAACCTTGAAAAGTCCATTTGGATCAAGTGTGAATACTCAACTTGAATGATCATGTGTTGAGCGAAGGTATACTCATGATGAAGCAATGGAATCATGCTACATTGCTCTAAAGTTGGATGTGTGAAGGATATCAACAATGGATGAAAAATGAGAAAAAAAAGATGATGAAAAAAAAGAAAAAAAAAGGAAAAAAAAAGAAGAAAGAAATGAAAAAAATGAAAAAAGAAGATTCAAATTGAAAACCTGAAGGGTTGATTTTGATAGAAAGAGATCCAGGTCAAATGGCTCACACGAATGAAAGATCAAAGACATTTGAAGACCCCTCAAAGACTGGGGCAAAGTTCGCCAAGCTCAAGTTGACTTCAACAGTAAATGGAATGAGTTTTTAAAAAAAGAATCCTAGATTAATGTTGAGAATTGTCTAAATATTCATCATTTGGACATACCATCCATCCCAATGACATGTATCTAATTCATTTCCTTTCCCATTTGCTTTGTACCAAAACAGATCTTCATTGATTATCTTTACCATAATTCACCTTGCATTCTCTCATTGTTTCACCCCTAGAATGAATTGAGAAAATGTTTGATTGCATTATATTTATCAAGATTTGAAATGATAATGAATGAATGAATATGTGCTTAAAAGAGTCTGGCATTTATTTGAAAAAAAATCTAAGATGAAGAAATGGTAGAAACCTAAAAGAGATGATTTAGAAGGATGTATGATGTGACCAAATAGAGAATATGATGGGGCAAATCTTGAAAAGCAATACAACCAAGTGATGAGTACAAGGATGAATTGGTCGAATGGTGGGAACAATCAGTGGACAGAGTT